TTTTATACGTGAAGTTCCTTCGGGCTCTCACTTCGACACAAGACCGCTCTGTCAATCCTTAACGACTTCTGCCAGGGTGGGCAGGCATTAACTGCGAAACTTACCCAAAGCACCTTATTAATTGGGTGGAGGAAGTACAATGTCTCCGTACGACCGTAACAGAATCGAAAAGCGAAATGTAATGCTTTTCCCAGGGTCATTGTGCAGCTACAGTTAGTCGTTGGACCCAACGACCCACTCAAATCGTCTTCAACATTCATAATATCAGAGTAGACTACTCGAAACTTCTGCGAATTCCTTAAAATGAAAGTGTCAAAGTAATGGATGGATGAATGCACGGCTTACTCTGAGACTCGGCAAATACAGACCATCTTTTCCAGCTCCGTGGATTCAGGTGGGATGGATCGTGCTCTGGTCTCTGAAGGTCTTCCTTAAGGAGCAGTTCCCAGGCTGGCACCGGTTGTTACCTAACTCCAGTAGTCTACCCTCACTACCAGAAGATTGTTTGGCTTTTTATCAGAACAATGGATATTTGGAGCACATTCATCTGGTGTGTGGGTAACACTCTCTGGGAAGCTCTTACATGGAATATGATCCATTTCGAATCAGCTTTATGTTTGCAAAGACACACCAGAAGGCATGAGGGAGAAAGATTTCCTCTCAAGCCGTTTATGGCTAGCCGCTTGCCGCCGTCTCTATTTGATCAGGCTCTTGAGGGTGATCACTGTCCAGAGGGGTAAGATCAAGGGCATTGAAGGATTTCTGGGGACGAGGAATCACAAGCTGTCTGGAGGCCTTGAATAAGGCTTGCAAGGTATGCATACTGATTCCGGTCCCATCTCCAAATACATCGTCCCTGGCAATCCATTCATCTGATCCATGGGGAATGATGGAACCATCATTCACAGTCGCGGGTTCAACATGGGTCAGGGGTGACATCTTCAGACGACCAATATCGGTGTTTTTTGCCGTTCGGAAATGTGCTATGTCCGTGACTGCGGTAGACCACAAAAGCGACATTATCGCGCACTCATTAACAATGCTAATCGACACTTAGATGTGGTGGTCGTAACGGCTTTTCGGCTGAC